TAGAGACAGTGTACATAAAATATTGCGCATACGCCACATTGCACATGTCGTACAGTTAATGTACAAATATTTACACAAATTGTAGGACCTACAGTAAATTTATGTGTTTATTATCGAAATACAGCGACATCAGCGGCATCAGCGGTTGTTTAGCAGTTGTTCATGTTCATGTTGGTGCACTTGCAGCCACGCCCCCTTTTTATACAGAAATTTAACATAAAATTGCATTTATCGCATTTAACATGCACAACAAAATGTCCAACTCTATGCCGACAGGCTATGATTTGTGGTCGGCTAATGGAAAAGTTAAGCCACACGACAAAACAAAAAACAGCACTTACAAAGTGTAGTTTTTGTTATGGGGTACCCACATTTTTAAGGAATGTTCAATTGTTTAACTTGACGAACAAAATATTTGCTTTCCACCTCTTCTACACAATAACACATCTTCTTTAGAATTCAAATTCCACTTTAGATTAAAGGACATATACAATTTTCTGAACGTAGATTGAAGGATTTATTCCAACCAAGTACAATACCATGTTTGCTATTTTTGAACATGTTTATAAAACTGAGTTGCACAGAACTTTTAAATCTCCATCTTTTGCTGCCAAGTTGCAGCGTTAAGACTACAGAAATTGCACATAAGCGCTCTGCATTTGTGAGATAGATGATCCGACAAGTATGAGTATAATTATTATTGTTTAAAATTAATAAACAAATAATTGACAATATAAAGCTGGAACCAGGGCAGATCATGAAAACTTTTTTTTTTATTTATTTTCTGGTTTTTTTTGTAGCAATATATTTTAAAATTTGCAGCACCCTACACAAAAAGACTGGTTCGCAAAATCAAAGCAAAAGCAATCCCTTAATAAAAATCAATCAAAAATTCTTTCTCTCATCCCTTTGCCAACTTTTAAAACCTTGGAATACTTAAAAAAAAGGTTTGCCACGTTTTATAAAATCATTTGCTTATAGATACTCAGAACAAGACTGTTTAAGGCAACAAACATTTATAATATCTGTGATATCAACATTAAAGCTCAAATAAATTCATGTTAATTGGCTGTAAAGAATTGAAAGTAATATATGTAAGTATATTATAAAATTTGATTTATCATTAATTAAGTTAGCCAGGAGTGCTTTCAAAAGGACTCGTTAGTCATAATGTAAAGGTAATTTTTGTGGGTAAGTTGAATGTTTTCCATTACGAATCAATTATAGCAGCGTGACATGCAAGTGTATATGTGGGTGTGTGCTTGTGTATTTGTGTATTTGTGTGTGTGGATGGTTTGGGGGACTGTGCGTGCTATGGTCGCATGCAAATCACGTCCGTGTGCATTTTGTCAAAATGCGTTTTCCAACTACAACAAGAGCCACACAAAGCTGTACGGCATATGGAAACAAATACGCACACACACATGCATACATACATTCATAAGTATGTGCATGTGTGTGTGTGTGTGCGTATATAGGTGTGCGTTTGTGTGCAAATAATGACAGGCTGATAGCACAAACAAACTCGCACGCACATCAGCTGCTGCCGCAGGCGGCCACAGTCGACGTCACATGCGGCTTAAAACTTGCCACGTCACTTGTTTCCGGTTTTTGCACGTTACGGACGTAGCGGACATTCAGACTGACTGACAGACAGACAGACAGACAGTCCGTAAGAGACGCACAAAGGATTGTCAGAGTGATTTTGAATACATTAAAATGTATCTAGTACTAGCGTACATTTGATATACAGAGAGTGAAGCAATTTGGCTGGAGGCCCAAATTGTTTTCTTGTGCCGTCATTAGGCATTAAGTAAGCTGCTCGCCCGATTGATGGATGAGACCCAACTATCAACTAATGAACTTTGCCACACTAAAGCCTCAAATTAAATTTTAAGCACACTTCAAAGTAAATATTTAATAAGCAACTAGAAATGAGCTTTTAAACGGTAAGAGCAACAACTTTTTCGAGGGAGGAGGAGTGAGAACAGTAGTCGTGGCTGAAAGGTGTAGTCCTTCTTTTGAAGGTAAAAACGGACTCAAAGGATGGGGCAGGCAATTGCCACACGACAAACTGGCGTGTAAAAACGCACTAAAAATCCACCCTTCTGTCCACTGCTTCTCCACTACGTTTCTGGTTCGCCTGATGAAAGTAATCAAAACTTTCGTCCGCTGTTTGTTTGTTTTTTGTTTGTTTGTGGAATGCGCAAGAACTGAAATATACACAAAAATGGCAGGCGCTGCGTGGAAATGGAAAATGGGCTGACGGAAATGTTTGTAAACTATAATTGCGCGCCAAAGTAGTTGCTGGCTGGCAGCTGCCAAAGGTAGCAGGTGGGCGAAGTGCTTCCCAAATGTGTGGCTGCACCAACCAGCCTCTTTTCCTGCTCCATAAAAGCAACGCATCCAAAACAAAAAAAAAAAAAGGAGAGCGCGCAAAAACAAAAAAGAATTTGCAAATTAAAATACAAAAGCGCAACGCGCAAAAAGCACAACAGCAACAAAAAATAGTGCCGGCAAAAAGCAAGCACCGAAAATGTACACTTATGGGCACAATTATGAGCGATGCACGATAGTCGGGCAGTTAGTTATAAGAAGTAAAAAGTTCCGAGTGTGTTGGCAGCGATTGTGAGTTGAGAAGTCAAGCTCTTGAGTTGCGGCTAAGATGTCGCGCCTCATTTCAAAGTATAAGTTAAAGTTGGTAACAGTACTTGACCGTGGGTGACCCGTATGTATGTTTGAGAAGCGCCTAGAAAGGCGGTGCTATGGCAAGAAGCAGAAGTAAAACAGATATTTCAGATGTATGGAGCTATTCCGAATGAACTACACTGTTAAGAACATAAAGTGCTAGAAAGTAATCTTTTGAAATATAACTATGCCGACCCTGGGTTCAATGTCGAGCAATTATAAGAAATAGAAATATGTTTAGCGATTTCGCCTTCAAAAGCTGAGTATCTAAGTTGCGAATAAGCTGCCGCGCTTTGCCTCTAATAAACCCTAGTTAATATTTACATATTGGTTCTTGCTCTAAAACTAACTGATGGACATTCTAGAATTTAAGTAATCTATATATAGTTTTTTGGAAACCTATGCTAATACTAGTGTGTGCTCATTATTTTAAAGAGAAATTTGTTATTTTGGTTTTGAAATAAAATTATTAGAAATTAACGTTTATTTTAAATGTTATACAAATTTAAAAATAATTGTTGCTTTAATTATCACGATATTTTAGTTTTTTTTATACCCTGTACCCAAAGGGTACAAGGGTATATTAGTTTTGTGCGAGTGCACATGGAACACACAGAAGGAGGCTTGGTAGACCCCACAAAGTATATATATTCTTGATCAGCATGACAAGCCGAGTCGATATAGCCATGTCCGTCTGTCTGTCTGTCTGTATGAACGCAAGGATCTCCGAAAGTATAAGAGCTAGAATAACCAAACTTGGTATACAGATTCTCCTGAGACCGAGAAAGGACGAGTTTGTTCATTTTTTCTGATCCACCCCCCCCACTCCCCCCCTATTTCCGATTTTCTAGAACTCCCGTAATTCTTGGAATTTTGAACTAAAATTTCGTAGTCATATTAGGTTAGTAATTATATATCCGTATACGAAGTTTCATTATGATAGAATGATCGGAAAGAAAGTTATAGCCATATAACCAGGCCCAATGCACACATACATACATATGTACAAGTACACAAACACGCATTAGGCACGATTCTGATGTAAATGTATGTATGCATGCATGGAATATTTTATATTTAATTAGTTAATATTTAGTTAATTAATTAAATTAATTTAGTTAATTAATTTAATTAAATTAATTAATTAATTTAATTACTTTTTTGTGGGGTGGTACAGGGTATTTAAGAGTTGAGCCTGCTCGACTTTAGCATTCCTTTCTTGTTTTTTTAAATATAGCGCATATTTCGAAAACCAAAAAAGTAAAATATACTCCTCCTTTCTCGGACCTAGCAGAACCAACTTTGGTTATTCCAGCTTTTATAGTTTCTGAGATCATTGCGTTCATCCAGATAGACAGACAGACGGACGGACGGACGGACATGCCTAGATCGATTTCTCTCGTCATGCTGATTCGGAATATATATACTTTATGAGGTCGCAGATGCTTCCTTCTGCATGTTACATACTTTGCACAAATCTAATATACCCTTTTTACCCTACGGGTACAGGGTATAATAACATATACGAAATGAACATAATATAGTATGTGTGAATTAAATTGATAAGAGATAGTTCCCTGCCCTCTCCTGACAAATTACGATCGATTTTACTCAGTTATATTAAATATAGAATTATCTCTCGGAAATTGAATTGTTTTCTAAAAACAAGTTTTTTAAAGCTTTGAAACTTTTGTTATAATGCTCATAGATTTGGCTTGGCAGTGACTCTTTGCAGTACTTAAATGCTTTAATTTCAATTGTTTTCTAAGTAATAATATTTTTTTACCATTTAATAATATTTAATTAAGTCAGTTAAAGATAAGTGGGTCACTTATAACTATCGGGTGAGAACATAAGCTTCTTACGTAAAATACATTGTAATTAAAAACTTTTCCCCCATTACTCGTACAGGCGTGGCGTTCAATAAAAACCCAATTGTAAAGTTGTAAGCCCATACGTTTTTAATTTAATTTGCAGCGTGGAATATTGAAAACAAGTTCCACAACCATCAACATAGCCTCCCAGAAATGGGCACACACTTGAAAAAATCCAATCAAACACGCACAATAAATACAACACATTCTACAACAGCCGTCGCCGCCACATAAAACCACATTCAGGCGACCTGCTTGAATGAGTGCCGCCCGCCAGCCTGCCTGCCTGCCTGACTGTTCATTGGCGCACATGGGACGATATGAAGAGCGATCCCATATCCATGAACCACTTAAGCACTTGAAAAAATGTGGGTGGGAGGAGGGGGCTATAAAAGTAGAGCCGGCAAATTGAAGTTGGAAAAGTGCTCAAATACTCACCTAACGAACACGCCCGTATCGACGTAATACGTGTAGTAAAAAATGCTAACCACGGTAATGGCGAACAGGGCCAGGACACCGCGTTTCACATTGATGCCGAAACATCGACGCGCAATTAAATTACAACAATGGAGCGAGGGGGAAATGATCGAGGAGCTTGAGCCACTGCCACCGCCACCACCACCACCACCACTGCCGCCATTACAACTGCCAATTGGAGTTGATGATGAGGTAGAGTTGAAGTTGTAGCCACCGCCATGGATGCCGTCGATGTTGCTGTTGCTGTTCGTGAAGCCGTTGTTGTTGGCATGCACCAAGTTATTGGCTTTAGCTTTGTACGTGACATTGCCAGCGGCCAGTGGAACAGAGGCAGAGGCTGCGACGGCAATGGCGACAGCGGCGGAGGCTGACGCAGAGGCGGGGGGTGTGGTATACGATGCGCCTTCACATGCATTGAGGAGCATTGTGTGGTCGGTTGGTGGCATTGCCAAAAGCTTGTTGCCGCCATTATTGAAATTTATGCAACGCTTTTCCGGCACTTCCTGTGCCACATCCGTTTGTGTAGTTCGTTCATTTAACAACAGCATTGTTGTTGTAGTCGTCATTGCATCAAAGGTTTGCGGCTCTTTAATGAGTTTTTCATATTTCAGTGTTTTGCCGGGCAAGCGATTTGAATTTGTTGTTGCTGTTTTTGTCGCTCCAGTTGCTACTATTTTGCGTGATATTGTCATTTTGCTACTGTTGTTGTTGTCACTGCTTTCGTTGTTGTTGCCGTCTTCGTTGCTATATTACTTTGGGTCTTCTGTTGCCAATTTTCCCTCTACTCGGTGGTTATTTGCATTTAGCCTGTGTTTATATTTAAAATTGTTTTAATTGGCAGCGTTTACTGTTATTATTAAACGATATGTTTGCGTGCTCACAATTTTTTCACACTATTCTCATATGGCACTTTATTTGTTTGTGTTCTCATCCCACACTCTACTTGTATATTTAATTTTAATAAAAACGTACAGCTTTTTAAGTACCGATGATTAGCAATTATTATTATTATTTTTTTTTTTTTGTGAGTCTATATACGAGTATATAGTTTCAAAAAATATATTTAAACACACACAAATTTGTAGTCTACGTATACGTATTATCGCTTTTCACACAAACACACTGAATTTAAATTTAAAAATAATTTGCTTCAGTTCGCCACTTGATATGTTTCCAAATTTTCAAATATTCATATTGCATTTTCAACTGCCGCCAGGCCATTGTGGCAATTATTATTGCTGTTGGTGTTTTTATTGTTGCTGTTGGTGTTGCTGCTATTGATGTTGCCGCTGTGGTTTCGGCTTGCGTTGAGCTGCCACATTTCCTCCTCCACAGCTGAACTTATTTCAGCCACTCGCTCGCTCGCATTATCAGCGAGCAACTGAAATTGCGGCGCGTTCCCACTATCGTCCGTTGACTGTTCCGTTCCGTTCCGATCCGATCCGTTTAGTGGTTATCTGCAAGTGACATAGAAAAACATAAAATAAATATTTATTATGTGTGTGTGCATATATATATACTTGTATAAATAAACAAATAGAGCTTTTATTTTTTCAAATTCACTTTCAATGGGCGGCAATGAGCACAAGAACCTTAGGCCAACGACAACGGCATCCACTGCTGCCCGTACTTTTCCCCGAAACTAAGTAATTGATGACACATGTGGCCAGACGGCGTTTGGCACTTATAATGTGCATATTTAATGCTTATTAGGGGAAACCAACAACAAATGACAATGCCAGCAATAAGCTAAGTATATATGCGCATCTTTGGCAAGCACACAGCAAATGAGGAAGGACAGACCAGCAGACAATCTGACAGCCTGACAAACAGGAGGGCGAAGTGTAATATGCACTGAAAGAAATATAAATGACTAATGTTCATTGAGTGGAAATAATGGTGACTAAAGAAATTACTGAATGGGCTGTTTATATTGAAGTTTTTTCGAACTGAAAGTGAACAATTCATTTAAGTGCAATTTTAGTTCAATAGTACCAATATTTATAAATTAAGTATCTATTATATTATATTTTTCTATCTTCTTGTATTTAAAATATTAAAGTCAAAGAGTAAGTTTCAAATGAAATGTTCAAATAAAAGCATTCATGATTAAAATTAAACTATTTAATTCAATTTCGATTTTTAAAAAGTGAATACATTTCTCATGTCGAGACATCGAGACTCTTGTTTTAGAGTAAAATAATTTTGTAGAGCTAGGGTTATGTCGGAGGAATTGTAGTTGGGGGTGTAAATAAGAGAAAGAGCTGTGGCCAGTTTTGCAAAAGAATCTGCTGAAAATACGGAGGAGTAATGGGGTAGAATCCCATAGTGGATTAATTCTGTTTCTGATGACATTGCATAACCTGTAACATCTTTGGTTTTGGAACCGTCTGTGTATGTGAAATTATAATTAGCGTATGAAGCTTTAAGGGCAAGAAAGTGTTGTTGAAGTATTACTGAGGGTGTCCAATTTTTATTGAATGCTGTGAGAGATAGGTCTATTGAATCTTTAACTTGTTGGCAGTTGATCAATTTTGATTTTAATGTTTTTATTGGTGATGTGGGTAGTTCAAGGGCATTGCAGATATTCAGGGCTCTGTCAATAACTCTGGAGTATGCTTTTATCTTTTTTGGCTTTTTAATAATTAATTTAAGCGGGCTGTTGTGGGACTGTAAGAAAGTCTTAAATAATTTTCCTGTAAGGGGGTCGCGTCGTTCTTCTAAAGAAGAAATATTGGCTTTAAAAAGCATGTTGTTTATGGGCGCTGTACGAAAGGCGCCCAAAGATGTTTTGATAGCTGCGTTGAGAATCGTTTTTATTTTACTAAGTTGCGATTTAGGGGCATAGCCGTAGAAAGGTAGGCAATAATCTATTTTAGATAATAAAACAGCTTTAACAACTTGAATAATTGTGTATGTGTTGCAGTTGTATTTGTAGTTTGAGAGATGTTTGATTATAGCAACTTTTTTAGAGAGTGCAGTTGCTGGGTAATTTATATGAGAATCGATGTATTTGATAATAATGAATTTCGAATTTAGGTACAATTTCTAAACCTAAACTTGAAATTGGTTTCTTGTCATTTGTTCATTTTACGTACAATTTCAATATATTTTTCTTTTAGTGTATAACACACACACATCCATATGATTCTGTCAATTTATTTCGGCTGCTGTTTGAGGCCATCAAAAGCAATACAAACAACACAACTACAGTAAATGTATATAAACTACAAATAAAGCGACAAATAGTCGAAGCCACAAATGGCACTCATAAGTGTAACTATGTATGCATGTATGTGTATTTGTATTTGTATGTGTGTGCTTAGCCATTAAGTGCATATGTGCGACTTTACAAAGGTTTTAATGGCTACACTTTAATTGGAAATTCTTGGGCAGCCTGTGGCAAAAACAACATACTTTCGGGCGTTTTATGGCCGAGAAAATGAGTCAATAATGACTATTATAGCTCTGTTAGTTTTATACTGGCTCTATTGACAACCTTTTTATGTAGTAGACAAAGTGCAGACATCTGCTGGATATCTTTATGCTATGCTTGCTTTATTATCGTTCGCACTACCGCTACCGAATTACATGTCCTTATCGTACCACATAGCTCTTCTTCTGTATTAAACTTTATAAAAAACAAAATAAAACAAGAAAGGAATGCTAAAGTCGAGCAGGCTCAACTCTTAAATACCCTGTACCACCCCACAAAAAAGTAATTAAATTAATTAATTAATTAAATTTAATTAATTAACTAAATTAATTTAATTAAGTAACTAAATTAATTTAATTAATTAACTAAATTAAATATAAAATATTCCATGCATGCATACATACATTTACATTTACATCAGAATCGTGCCTTATGCGTGTTTGTGTACTTGTACATATGTATGTATGTGTGCATTGGGGCTGGTTATATGGCTATAACTTTCTTTCCGATCATTCTATCATAATGAGACTTGGTATACGGTTATATAATAGCTAACCTAATGTGACTACCAAATTTGAGTTGAAAATTCCAAGAATTACGGGAGTTATAGAAAATCGTTAATAGGGGGGGAGTGGGGGGGTGGATCAGAAAAAATGAACAAACTCGTCCTTTCTCGGTCTCAGGAGAATCTGTATACCAAGTTTGGTTATTCTAGCTCTTATACTTTCGGAGATCCTTGCGTTCATACAGACAGACAGACGGACAGACGGACATGGCTATATCGACTCGGCTTGTCATGCTGATCAAGAATATATATACTTTGTGGGGTCTACCAAGCCTCCTTCTGTGTGTTCCATGTGCACTCGCACAAAACTAATATACCTGTTGGAGGACAACACAATAATATAAGCGCTATTTGATATGTAAAGTAACATCACTCACTTTTGTTAAGTAGCCCATCTGGCAACTTTATTTACGTTTGTTTTTTACTTATGTTTTCACTCAACTCTTCTGCGAAAGAGAACAAACGCACTCATAGCGGCATAACGCATTATTAGCTATGCCCTTTTTTGCAACAAGGCACTCGCATTTCGGACTTGCATGGTATCAGTCATTTCGGCACGCACGACACATAACATACAAATATACACACATACACACAATCAACCTTGGCGAACCTTAAATTATTTGGGAAAGGTACAGCAGCGCCAAATCGGCTCAACAAAAAACATATCAAGTGGATCGAAGACCCCTCCGGAGCACGTCTGGAACATTTTGGCGACCGTGACAGGACACAGATAAGTCTCGTTCCATTTTTTATGTTAAAATTCGCCGATTTCATGAAATCGTATAGTTGCTATACAGATTACCAAACAATATTGGAACGCCATAGTAATCGTCTGGTTCAGGGCAACGAGCTGCTGGACAGAACATTATCTGTAACTACATATACATAAATCAACTGTAACTAGTGCACAAGGCACTGTGGTCAACTTAGCCGCTGTACCAAGGCCACGCTGTTGGATAGAACAGCAACGGAGACGTCAGCATTTCACCGTTCGACAGTCTACACCCGCCGCTCCGCACATCCCCTCTCAACAACCCACATATTGTTCCCGCCAACGAAACATGTAAGAAGCGCGCTCAAAGAAGAGCACAAAATCAAGCGGTAAATACACACATTTAATACAGTTGCATTCTTAAACTGATGTACAGCCAAATATTGTGGTTGTTGTTGCAAATTTGAACTCGCTAGAAAGATCCGCTAGGCTGTGATTCTTGTTGTTGTGCATTGCTTTTCAGTTCGTTTTAACCAAATTCGCCTAACGCGCTCAGCGCACAGTGGCACAACACTTAGTGAAATTTGTAATAAATTATTTGCATAAGAGATTTAGCTTCAAGTGGCATTAGTGTTGACCTGTTGAGGTTGTGTTACTGCGTTGGTTAAATTTTGCGTGTAATTAATTTAGATAAATAAATTAAAATGAGTCAATCCGACGACGCCGTAATTATGAAAGCTGCGGCCGTCGACGTTAACGATCCCCGTTTGATCAAACTTCGTGTGCAGAGAACTACAATGGAAAGAAACATCGAAAGTTTAAAGTCCAGAATAACCACAACTGGAGCTGGTTCTGAAGTACCAGTTCTTGAGTGCAACCTTCAAATACTGGAGTCCTATTTTCGTCAGATTATGCAGATACAAACACAAATCGAGGACATCCATAACAGGGATACAGGCAGGTCTAGCATTGAAGAACTTTTTATCGCAACAAAGGCAGCAATTGTCACGTTTATCAATGAGAAAAGGCGAACAACTGTTTCTGAGTCGACGTTTCTAAATTCTACATCAAGCATTACTGCTGTCCATCAGAGTAGGCTCCCAAAGATTAAACTTCCAACCTTTGATGGCCAGTATGCTAACTATAAACGATTTATAGCCGCATACAATAACCTTATTGAAAGCGACAGTTCAATCTCGGTAATT